TAATGCGGTCGGTTGTTCGGTTTAGCTCCGCCAACAACGAGGTCCGGCCATTAGGTTGTCTGCACGATTCGCCCTCCAGTGGCTCAAACGTGCAACTGCATATATATACTAGTTCTCTCCAAAGGGTTGTATGCTCCATTTGTGGCTGAATATTTAAGCCAATATGTTATTGCCCTCTTGTGGCTCAAACGTGCAACTTCACTCATCGACGTTTTGGCCGGACCTCACATAGAGCAGATACCCTTTTTGAGGGAACTTGTTTATATATGCAGTTGCACATTTGAGCCACCAGAGGGCGAATCGTGCAGACAACCTAATGGCCGGTTAATAAGTTAATATTAATAATATAATAATATAACATTATATATAATAATAGAATGATAATTATAATAACAATAATATATAAAAATATAATAATTATTATAATAATAAGTCAATAATAGGTTAATAGGTTTGAACTTATTCTTTGATAGAAAGTGCGTGCTTTGACGACTGTAACAGAAAAGGTCATTGGTGAAAATCTACAAAAATAAATAATTTAAATTCAAAATGCCCACCAGCTGTTTCACCATTGTATTTTTCAAATAGTTTTTTTAGTTAGTGATTATTTCAGAAAATTTCAGAAATTATAGAGAGAATGTGAAAACAAAAACAAAACATAAACGGAGCTGCCTGTATTCTGAACTTACTCATAGATTACGCTAGATGGCGTAAAATATAAAACAATTCTTGAGACTACTGTAGCAGAAAAAGTTTGTTACTGGACTGGTCTTTTCTTGTGTTTCAATCACGACAATTCCAAAAACCATTAGAAATAATAGAAACTATGAAATATTATTGACTGAGTTTTTAAAGAAGCCAGTTAATCTGTTGATCTGTCTCTGTACAGAACCAAACTGCTGTGGCATTTCACACCGCAAAGCACATTTAAACACTAAACTTCCCTTAGTCACAACAAAATCAACAACAGAGGGAGTTCTTTTATTTCCAGCAGTTAATCAACTCCAATGAAAAGTATAGTCTCAGCTCGTTGTTTCTGGTTTACATGGTGCATTGTTATTATTATTATTATTATTGGTATTATTACTTGTCATCACAAATTAATCAATGAAGTTTGCGAGGAAGATATCATTCAGAGAACGCTGTAACCTGTAAGTGCTAGGAACAATAAATCTTGCAGCGCCGGAAGTGTTTGTTTCCTATGGGGGGCTTTTATAAAACACACATTGCGGGCAGAACTTCACAGGTTTTGGACCACCTGTGCTGTGTGTGTGTTATGCAGTAGCTCTTAGAAGGAACAAACCAGCTTCACACACACGCACACACACACACAGGCTGCAGGTGTTGGTGTGTGTGTGTGTTATTGAGTGCGTCCTGGTTACTAACTGGTGTTTCTCTTTATTATTCTGCCTTCTTCTGGTTTTCCATCACCGCTTGTTTTCTTCCCAGGGCTGGCGGATGCTTCTGTACACCTCTGTTGGGGTCCCCAGACATTGCATCCTGCCTGCAGAAGGGTCATAAGTGGCCCCACAGGATAACCTGAACAACAGTGGGAAAGAAATGGAGCGTGGGTCTCCTTCACTAACGCAGTTCTGGCCACCTCTGTGCCAAAGGCATACATGTTGCCGGTGGCTGTTTTCAGCGATGTGAGTGTGCGCCGCATGTGACTGAAAACATCTGAGTTTTCAAGCTGTTTATGTGTGCCGTGATGTTGACTGAACTTTTTCAATAACACAGATTTGATGATAAATTTTTTTTTCATATTTTATAGATGGGCTGTACCAGTTAGAAACCATTGATGTCTACACACGTGCACAGACTCGTGCACTTTCCTCAATTTTGATCTCCTTCTATATCACAAGAGGCCCCGCTTTGACTTCCTGTCTGTGTGGGAACCATTTCTATGCTCTGTCACACATGCAGGGAAAGAAGGTCCCGCACTTACATTTGCAAAAAAAAAGAAACAAAAAGACAAAGTGATTGTCAATAAACAACGAACAATTGAACCCCCTAGATGTGTTCAACAGCTCCTTCTGCTGTTCCTGCAGGACGCTCATGAGAACTTCATTTTTCCTAGTTTCCTAGTTTGCCTCACAGCAGCTCATTCAGCAGAAAGAACTTTGTGGGAATCCACAGAGGTGCAAATTATTTGTGTTATGTAATAAATTGTTTTTTAATCATTGTAAAACTGTAAAAAAACAAAATCTTTCCATCTAGTTTGTCCTTTCTGAGCATACAGAACAACATCTTAGTAGTCAAAGATCGAGGTCCGTATCAATATCAATGTTTTTTATTCACCCTTCCTTCGTCTTTGTATGATTCCAAAATCATTTTATACTGCGATCAACTGTTAAGCGACGGTGATCCAAAGATCTGTGGTCATGTGTCTTACTATAAGTAATGCTTTTTATTTTATAGTTTTCTCACATTATCAACTATCAGTTTCTTCACTCATTTTATGCAGAAATGAACGCTCTTTTCTGCCAAAATGTTTTGCTTGAAGGGGACCTCAAATCTGACTCTCAAAGACTGACCCCCTGGTACTGACCTCTCAGGTTGTAACTTGTAGGACGTTTTTGATCTTGTCTTTTCTCTGTCACAACGTTTGAATTGTTTTTACATTTACTCACGTTTAAAGAATATTTTCTTACCTTTTGCTCTGAAATGAACCAAATGACCTGCACTATTTTACTGTACATCATAACCATTCATACCAACTTCCTCATTTTCCAGTGTTAACTGTTACTCTGCTCCGTACCCACACCTGGGATTTGCACTGATCTTTCTGGGAGCAAACATCTGCAGCTGTTCTAGTGTCAAGACTCCTCTGAGGTAAACATGGCTGCGGGAAAGTCCCTTATTATTGTGCTCCGGATGACGTTCCACACTCCTCCAGTGTTTACTGTGGAAATCACTTTGTGCCAGCGTGCAGGTGCTTCCTCACAAATCTTCAACTTTTCCAGAAAATTTAGAGAATCACATTATTTTAACTGAGATTTTTTATATATACATATAATTTTACATCATTGCATGACTTTCTATTAGTATCATTGATTATATGAACAGTGTAAACTAATAGTTAATGGATTTATGACACATTTGATTGAAGCACTAGATTAATGACTATTGTTATCACACTTCCTCCCTCAAACAATACGTCAGATTTTGCTCACACCGACTACTTTCACATGGATCTGATCAGCTACGATAACCTGCAGCCACAGCCTGACTGCTCATATAACAACAATATTGCAGACAAATGGTTTCCCATAATTAACAGTGACAAATGCGATTTAGATTTTAATGAAATACATTTAACTAATTAACAGACGAATAACAAAGATTTCATCAGCCTCAGTCATTGACAACGTAAAAAAAATGTTATATTTTTAGGAGAGTTACTTCCTGCAAAAGTCAAGTGTGGAAACTGCTGCTGAATGTGTGTGACTTTAGGAGGTGCTTTACCCATGTTACTTTAATTCATTTTTGAGTATTTTAAAAACTAAATAAAATAAATACTTTTCTTTTAAAATTTCATTTTCTATTTTCCAATCAGCAAATATGGCAGGTCTTAGATCACAGTAACCACATCCCTCAGCCTCCTCCCTAAGGTTAATGTATGATTTTGTCTTCCACATCACAGACCTGCACTGTTGCATTCAGGCAGTGGGTTCTCGTCTCACTGCAGCGTAACACTCCACCGTGGTGTTACGCAGTCAATCAGTGTGACACCAATTATGTATGTCACATGACCACAGGAGACTGCACATGGAAAGTGTGAGAGGGGCACATCCATCAGCTCCATCTAATGGGGCAGAGTGTAGAGTGAGATGGGACAAAGTCTCCACAGACAGTCTGACTCGTCCATTCACGGACCTCTACACAGAGGTTGATTACACTCTGCATGTTACGCTTTGTTACGCTTTCCTGTTTCCGACAGTGTCCAGAACTTGACCTGGTTTTATTTTTGCCCTACAGCCATACCTTAAGGCTCACGCAGCTTTTCAGAAAAACACTGTCCAAACTTAAGGGACTCAGACTCAGAAGGGTAACAGACGCTCTGTGGTGTATTTTTGGTCGACCTTTAAAATCAGGAGAAACCACTGGCTGAAGATTTGTATGGAAATGATCTGAAGTGATTCTGAACATTTCATAGATCACAATTTCATATCAACATTCAACACTGATTTATAGTAAAAAAAACCCAAACAAAACATAAATCAGTCCCACATTTTAGATTTAAGTGATTTGTGATTTATTGAAATAGCAGCATGTGAATTAGAAATATTTCATTTCAGAGGTAATGTGTACAGTACTTTCGTCGACACCTACGGTCTCTGTCGTTACGACTCCACTGAGGCCTGGATGTTTAGCTGCGGTGGAGTGAAATAAATGCGTGCAACGGACTCACTACACCAACACACTCCAGTCAAACACTGAAGTAAATTTAACATTCAAAACAGTTTAACATTACGGTATATGGCCCTTCAGAAAATATAATAACATTAAAATGTATTAATAAAACATCTGAGGTTACAGTACTTCAGAGTTACATTAAATGTTTTAGCAGCTCATATATACAGTTATACTGCCGTTTATTCATTAAGTATATTGTGAATTAATGAAATAAAATAAATTAAATCAACTATGGGCTGCAGTCCAGTCCATATCTCTACTGCACATAGGATTAAACATACAGTGTTTATACTCAACTTTCTCTGTGTTCATTTGACTGCGTAATAAACTGTGGCCTTCTCATCGCTCCTCAGTGACCACAGTATGAGGTTAACTCTTTGGGTTCTTGGGTCGGAGGCTTATAACCTGAGTTTGGTTTGTTTCAGTCTCAGAATCTTCCCCGTCAGCGTAGGCTCCGTCCTCTGACTCCGCCTTCAACTTCTGTAAAGTCTCCGCTGGGATCAGTCTTGTTTTCTCACCTGTTCTTTGAACTGAATCTCTGTCTTTTGGAGCACAAAGCTGCTCTTCATCGCTATCATCTCCTGAGTCGTCTGACTCTTCCTCTGCCTCATCTTCACCGTCGCCTGAATCCTCATTGAATATGTTATTATTATTATTATTATTATTAGAATTACTGACTGGTAGATTTGTTACAGACTGTGTGACATTGTCTTCATCACCAGCTTTCAGTGATAAGTTATCTGAAAGTTCTTCCACATTTACACCTGGCCTTAGCTTAACCACATCATCACAACCGTCACTTTCCTTTCCATCTGGGGTTGCATCACCTTCATCAAATGTTTGTTCAACTTTGTCAGAATGATTCTCAGACTCCTGGTCAGAATTCAGTTCATCTCCTCCAGTAGGATGCTGATCATTTTTGGTCCCTACATGTTCTGTTCCACCTTCTTCTTCTATTGCTTCTCCTACATATTCTTCTTCACCATCAACATCAGAAGGCCCGTTCCCAGACTCTACAGCTTCGTCTGACTCTTTGGCTATTTCTGCTTCTTCAGTCTCACTGCCTGACTTTAATGCCTCTGTGCAATCCTCACGTATCTCAGTTGTAGGTTCTGGAGTTTCTTCTCCAGAGAGTCCATTTGCAGTTGGGTTTTCTGTTTCTTTAACTAAATCTTCATCATCGCATGAGTTTTCACTGTCATTTTCAGATTGCTCTGTTTCTTGGAGTGGTCCAGCAGTTGCCTCATCAACGTGTTCTGCATCATTTAAAGTCTCTTTTTCAACCAAAGTCTTCTCATCTTCGTCTGGATTCTCATTTTCTGCTTCACTTTTATCTGCAGCCTCATCATCTGGTGTAACCTCCAAAGTTTCCTCCTCTCTTTGACTGTCCTTTTCTTCTCCTTTTTCATTATCATCTGTTACTTCTAATCTTTCCTTCACTCTGGATTCAGGGTCAACTTCTTCAGTGTCATGTTGATCTTCAACCTCTTCTTCCTCTCTTGGTACTTTTTCAAGTGAAGTTGTAATTTCTGGTGGATTTTCATCATCTTCTGTAGAGTCATCTTCACAGTTAGCAGCAGTTTCTTCCACATCCTCAGTCTTCTTCTGTTCATGTTTGTCAGATTCAGGATCACTTGTTTCCTCCACATCTGCTGCCTTTTCCTCTTCAGCTGCACTGGGTTTGGCAACTTCTTCCTCCTCTCTGTCTTGTTCGGGAGCCTCCTCGTCCTGTGACAGATGATCTTCATCATTAACTGGAATCTCCTCTTCCACTGCAGTATTGATGTCAGATTCTTGTTCTTTTCTCTCATCATCGTCAGCGTCTTCCTCTCTCTCACTCTCGTCCTGTGACTCATGATTGTCTTCACTGGCAGCTGGAGTTTCCTCTTCTACAATGTTGTCAGATTCATGTTCAGAGTCCTCTGCAGCTCTGGCCTCTTCTTCTGCTACTGCTAAACTATTGTCTTCATCTGCATCTCCTTCACCTTCAGATCCTTCATCATCATCTGCAGGTTTATCATCATCATTGATGTCAGCCATCTCTTCTCCATCTCCACCATTTTCTGCTTCTGTTGCTCTTTCACACTCTTCCTCCAGTTTTTCATCTGGACTATCGTCTTCACTGTCAGCAGGACCTTCTCCCACAGCTTCAGTTTTCTGTAACTCCTGTTCATGGTCACTTGTGTCCTCCACATCTACTACAGTTTCTCCTTCATCTCCTGTGAGTTCAGCAGTTTCTTCCTTTATGTCTTCAGAAATATTTTCTCTTGATTCCTCTTCGAGGGCTTCCTCGTCATCTGACTGATGTTCACCTTCATCAGTGTCGCAAACATTCTCTTTCACTGCTGCATCACTGCCAGATTCTGTCTCAGCAACATCAGCTTTCTCAGCGGGGCTTCTGTCTTCCTCACTTGCACTTCCGTCTTTTGTTTCTACCAAATCTTCTGCATCTTCATCATGAGTATCAGCAGCCTCCTCCACCTCATCATCTTGCATGTCAGATTCTTGTGCTGGTGTTTCAGAATTATTCTCTTCTTCTCTGGCGCTTACATCGTCTTCACAGGCATTTTCTGCTTCTGTAGTTTCATTTTCATTATTCGTGTCAACGCCCTCTTCTTCATTTTCATCTATAACTCCTTCCATCTCTCCACCAGTGTCAGATTCATCATCACTTTCCTCCACATCTGCTGCTTTCTCCTCTTTATCTTCACTAGATTCAGTGGCTTCCTCCTGGTCTTCTTCAGGGTCTTTTTCAAGAGCTTCCTCATCATCTGACTGATGTTTATCTTCATCAGCAGCTGGGGCCTCTTCTTCCAGGTCAGGATTACCATCAGATTCCTGTGCCGATGTCTCAGCAACATCAGCTTCTCCCTCTGCATGAACATCCTCTTCACTGGCACTTTCTTTGGTTGTTACCATATCTGCTGGAGTCTCCTCTTCATCATTTTTGTCAGCAGCCTCCTCATTTCCCTCACCCCTTTCATCTTCAATCAACCCATGAGTGTCAGATTCATGGTCACTGTTTCCCTCATGATCCAATGCATTTTCCTCTTCAGCTCCTTCCTCATTATTGTCTTCAGAGATGTCACCTTCCACATCTTTTTTAGGAGTTTCTTCTGCTGGAATTTCTTCTTCCTTCACACTTGCTGCCCTTTCTTCTTCATATGCGGCTGATTTAGCAGATTTTTCAAAAATATCAACTTCTTTTTCAGCAGTTATATCATCATCTGAGTGATGCTCGTCTTCATCAGCAGCTGGACCCTCCTCTTCTACTGCTGCGTTAATGTCAGATTCTTCTGCCAATGTCTCAGCATCATCACTTTCATCTTTTCTTTCTTCCATGTCTTCTGTAGTTTCATCTTCATCATTTGTGTCAGGTGCTGCTTCATCATCACCGACTACTTCTGCCGTCATCAACCCATCAGTGTCAGATTTATGGTCACTGGTTCCTTCATTTTCCTCTTCAGCTCCTTCCTCAGTATTGTCTTCAGAGATGTCACATTCAACATCATTTTCAGGAGTTTGCTCTGCTGGATTTTCTTCTCCCTCAGCTAAGTTGTTGTCTGATTCAGATGTTTCTGCAGCACCAGCCTCTTCTTTTGCACTCTCATCATTTTCTGCCTCATTTGTGCCACCAGTTCCATTTCCATCATCACTGATCTCTGCTTCTACTACATCATCCTCATCAGCTTCACCTTCTTTAGTAACATTTTCCTCCTCGTCATTGTTGACTTCTATTATTTCTTCATCCTCAGCAGCAGTTTGATCCTGGTCAGACTTGGCACTGATCTCAACTTCATCATTCACCAATTCTGACTCTCCTTCATCAGCAGTAGAGGCCACACAACTGTCTTTTTCTGGAAGATCTGCATCCTCTTCACCTGAAATTCCTTCTTCTCCAGGAATCTCTTTGACAGTTTCTGCTTCTTCATCTGCACAGTCATCGTCACGGTTAGAAGCAGGATGTTCTTCATCACTCTGTTTTTCCTCTTTTACATTTTTACCTCCTTCAGACGTCTGTTCACTTGTGTCTGCCACACAGTTCTCTTCAGTGTCTTCATCATCAGCTGCGACAGTTTCTGCAGCCTCCTGAAGGTCATTTTCACTCACAGTCTCCTTTTCTTCATGCACACCATCTTCATCTGAAACAGACTCCTCTTCTTCAGGTTGGTGCTCGGATTCATGTTCTATTGCATCTTCAACAATGTCGTTCAAAGTTGCCTCATCATCTGACTGCTGATCGTCTCCACAGACAGCTGGAATCTCCTCTTCCTCTGCTGCATCTTGTTCAGGTTCATGCTCAGATGACTCTTCCTCTGCGTCTTCAGCTGCCATGTCATCTTTATCATTTGTGTTGACAATCACTATTTCACTCTTCTCTGCTTCTGTAGTTTCATCCTCATCACATTCCCCTCCAGACACTGACTCCTCTGGCTCTTCAACATTTTTGACTTCCACACACTCTTCATCTTCATTTTCTTTGTCACCATCACCCTCATCTGTTATTTCTTGTGTATCTTCAACTTCATCATTAACTATTTCTTCACCAAAACTCCCCTTTGTTGCAGCATTCTCAATCCTGGATTCTCCTTCATCACATTCAATTTCAGCCTTTGAAGCCAGACTACTGTTGATTTTTGAATTATCCACATTTAAATCAAACTCATCTTCTGTTTCAACTTCACCATTTGGTTCTTTCAATGACTCAGCCACAGAAGCGTCTTCATTGTTCTCTGTAGATTTGTTAGAGGAAAGCATTTCGTCCTCTTCCTCGTGTTCTTCAGACTCAGGTCTGCTCGTGACTGCCACCTCACTGCCTCGAGCATTTTCATCTTCAGCTGAAGTGACTTCTGCAGCCTCTTCTTCCAGCTCATCCTCACCTGAGTCCACGCACTCATCGGCCTTTGGTTTCTCCGACTGTTCATCACCTTTCGTTTCATTCACCTCTGTGGATTCATCTTCATTTGTGGGGGAAACGTCAACTTCTGCTGACTCAACCTCCTCTCTTTCACATTCATCATTGTTTATGTCAACTTCACTTTTTGCTGTAGGGTTGTCATCGGCTGCAAAATCACTAATGATAGATGCCTCAACTACATTTGATGCTACAGCCTCCTCTCGACTCATCTCTTTTTTTTCAGCACTGTCATGATGTGGTTCTGTTCCTGCACTTTCCTCTGCTGTTTCCTCAAATTCACTTTTTTCATCCACATTCAATTCACACTCTTCTGCACATTTGTCAGATTCTTGTTCACCCATAGATGCTGCATCTTCACCTTTGCATGCTGATTTAATGACTTCTTCTTCAAGTTCACCACCCTCACTGTTGGCAGCAATCTCCTCTTCCTCATTAAGTGCCTGTTCAGTTAAAGCTGCAACTGTTGTTTCTGTGGCTTCATCTCCATTTACCTCTTCATGGACTTGGTTTTCACCTGGAACATCGACGTCTTCTTCTAACATTTCATCAATTAATGACACCTGTTTGTGTGGTTCTTTTGATGATTTTTCAGAAGTCTCATTATCTTCATCTGTTGTTACCTTTGCCTGAGCGTCGGAGGGTTTATCTTGTTCGTCAACAACCTGATCTTCCACACATTCCTCTTTGTTGCTGGTCAATAAAGCAACATTTATTTCATCGTCATTTTCAACTTTAGTGACTTCAGGAGCCTCTTCCTGATAGTCCTCATCATCTGGTACGTTGACATTTTTTGGTTTACCTGAATCATCTGCTGCAGTTGTAGAAATATCAGTTTCACCATTCTCTGTTTCTAATTCTTGTGTTTCTTCAGGTTCTACAGCCTCCTCCAACTGTGGAACAGTTGATGTAGCTGCTCCACTCTCTTCTGTGTCATCCCCATCATTGACAGTGGAAGCTCCAACTTCAGTCTCACCAGCGGTTTCACACTGATTGGCATCTTCAGTGTCTTCAGTAAATGCTTCAACTATCTCTGTCGGCTCCTTAACATCATGCAACACTTCGGCTTCATTGTTTTCAATCAGATTTTCCTCATGGTGATGGTGACACAAGTCTGCTGTGGAGACAAGGCCAACTTCACTATCATTGTGTTCTTCCTTTCCTTTCACTTTTCTTACAGCCTCATCGATCACTTTATCTACAAAAGAGTCAATTGAACTGGTCATACAAATATATTCACTGTAACCCTGTGCACCAACATCATTCTTTACCCCAGGAACACTCTCTGATTCCATGCCTGTAGAATCTTCTAGAAGGAATGGTTTGGTGTTTGTTTTTGTGTTAGTGCATGTTTCACATTGGCAGTGCTCCTCACTTTCACTGCGCTCGTCACTGCAACATGAGCCTGTTGCAGAGTCTTCGTTTTTTTCTGCCCGTGAATCACCCGATTGTTGGGGCAGCATTTTCACTTTCTGTCTCCTTCTTTCTGATTGTGTGGTTGAAGCGCGTGACAGTGCTTCTCTTGGAGGTCTTGGAAATCCGACGTGACTCTGAATTCTTCTCAGCTCCCTGTCTATACTGGTTTGGATTTTATTTTGGACCTTTATTTGAAGTTCTCTTATCATCGTTTCCAGCTGTTCGTTATCATCCATGTTCCGTCTGACCTTGAATTCCAGCATCGCGTTGTTATAATGCTTCATGAACTGATTCTCTATTTTGGTTAAAAGGGTTAAAACCCAAATAGAATCAGGACATTGAGAAATGATTTCAGCAAACTGAGTTCCTGGAGAAGCGCAGGAGCTCATGTCACATGGAACCTTTTCTCCATCATTGTCTTTTCCTGAGCTTTTACCTGAGGCGTGTGCTGTTTGTTCTCCAGGACTGTCATTATTTCTGATTGTTTCATCTGAGGTTGAATCACATTTAATTATTTCTTCCTCATCAAATTTTTCATCTTTTCCTGGAGAGTTAATTTTACGTACTCTGTCAGCTGTGGAACATGGATCCCAACCACTGCTCTTGTTAGAGCCAGTGGAGCCACTGGTGACATCAACACCAGACGATGAGGTGTGATTGAACTCATCGTCCACAAAGCCGCCATCACCATTCTTTTTAAACACATGTCCAATTTGAGGTGCATCACAAAGCCAGAGAGACTTGAGGATTTCCATCAGTTCCTGGTACCGTTCATTCTTTTCATTAGCATTTGTGGGATCGTAAGATATTAACTGCAATTTGACAAGGCAGTCCAAAAGTCCTTTGGCGGAGGTGCTCAATTTCCTGCCATAAACTGGAGAGATTTCTGGCAGACTGTGACATCGGTCAAGCTTGGGGTTTAACAGTACTTTCATAACTTGTACAGAGGAGTGGAATACTTTAGAGACATCGTCCGTCAGAACACAGGTGCTGTCCATATTATGTGGCTCATTGTTAGGGACACTGTCCACCACATCTCTGTCATTTCCACCTTTATCAAGGTCATCTGATGAATTCAGATTGTTTTCATTGTCATCATTTCCATCACTTCCCTCTGTTTTGACGTCCTGCTGTGGTTCTTCCATGTCGTATGTATCTCCTTCAGTAGTTACTGTCTTCAACCACTCATTCACAACCTCAGCTGGAGACGCATTGGGCAAATGAGATGGAACAAGTTCACAGTCATCAACGTCTTCATTATTCTCGTTGCCCTGGTTGCTTGTTTCTTCAACATTTATTATCTTCTTGGACTCATCCGTGCTCATCGGACACTCATTCATATTGTTGACGTTGTCAGAACTGGACAGAGTCTGTGACAAATCACTCTCCACTGACTCCGTGTGACTAATCACAGGGTTTTTTCCTTTTGATTGGTGATCAGCGGCAGCAACGTCTGCTGACGGGGTTTTCACCTCTTCCTTGTTTGGTTCACCTGTCTCAGAGTCGTGACTTCTCACATGCTTGTCTTTGTTTGTGTCTTCTTCTTGTAAAGTTGATGAAGAGTCCACTATGATCTTATCAAATGGTTTACATTTCAGAGATTGAAGAGACAAAAACGAGTTTACAGACAAGGAGTCCCGCCTTTTACTTTTTATTCCTATGTTTTCAGATTTTGTTGACTTTTTGGAACGTGCTGAAACCTTTGACTTCCCTGACATGGCTGATGGAGCTCTGTCAATGTCTCCTTCAACTGTAAATGCAGGTATATTGGCCTTGATTACAGAATCAATAAGTCTCTTATTTGTATTATCACTTGCATCAGATAATTTGGATTTATTTGATTTTATTGATTTTCCTGACCTGGTGCTCCGTGCTCTGCCTGAATTTTCCTCAGAAACATTTACTTCAGTAACAGAAATGCCAGGAGTTTGTACGATGTTTGACTTTGTTGAATATTTTGATATCTTTGACAATGCACTCTGTGATCTGTCTTCTGCGGCTTCACATTCAGGCTGACTTGAAGGAGTTATATTTTCAGTACATTCAATTTGATCCTGTTCAGATGTATTTTCGTCAGCAGCACTTCCTTTTACTCCGTCAGG